AGTAGATCAATTTATTCTTTACTTGAAACTGACATGATAAATGACTAATGACTGATGACTCATTCTTAACATAAGATCATTTTTTTGTATTGATTGACAGGACAGCTGTGTTATGAGTGTTGGTTTATCCATGTACGATGGTTTGGAGAGTGGCTTGGAGAGCGAGAGTCCTCCTGATAATGTCTTGGACAGCACTACGGGTGCTACAAAAAAACTGGCTAGAGGTATCTCCCGTGCAACTGAAAATGCAGCGATTGTTTCCTATGCTCGTTTACAATTGGCAGCCTTAGGAACACTCGATACACCAGAATTTACATTTTCATTGCCAGACTTGTCTGTATATCCAGGTATTTTTCTTTACTCTAAATATAATATGTATCCTAATTATTTTTTATTAACATTAGCAAACTTTTGATTGATATTTTATATCTAGATTCGTTTCGTAAATTCTTGGAGAAGGATCTGATAGAGAATGGATGCCTGAATTCTTTAGAAGCTGCAGGTCGATTAAACTGGTGGTACAAAAGTGGAAGCACTAGAATTCTTTGGCCACTAGCAACATCTGGAGATGGCAATTGTCTACTTCACGCTGCGTCATTGGGAATGTGGGGCTTTCATGATAGATTACTTACTCTGCGAGAGGCATTGCATAATACTTTGACCAAAGGAGAATACAGACACGCAATTTTCAGGTATAAAATAAGAAAATATTAATTTTAAAAGAGGAGTAAATGTTTGGGATACCTATTTAATATATATCCAATACCATAATTATTAGACGATGGAAGTGGAGACAAACGAGTCTAAATGAAGCGGCTGGATTATCATACACGGAAGCGGAATGGTTATCAGAATGGCAAAGTATAGTGGATATGGCATCTCCTACAATAAGAAATCAGACTGCTACCTCTTATCAGAGTCTCGAAGAAGTATTACAACATCTTTTCTTTAACTATCAACTTGTATCTCAGTTAAATATACAATCTATACTTTGATTTCAGATACACATATTAACTTTGGCTCATATCTTAAGAAGGCCTATAATAGTTATAGCAGAAACTATGTTGAAGGACGCGGATGGAGTAGCTTTAGCACCGATCCCATTCGGTGGAGTATATTTACCTCTGGAAGTACCGCCTTCGCATTGTCACAGAACACCCTTACTCTTGGCATATCATTCTGCTCATTTCTCCCCGCTTGTAACTGTAGATGGCTGCAATGATTATGGCAGCGCTTGCGGTGAAGGAGTTAGTATACCATTAGTAGATCCAGACACAGGCAAATTGTTACCAGTCTTATTTGCCGTGGATCCTGGTCCTGATTGGGATTGGGTCGATGGTTCACGAGAATTGTTAACTTGTACGCAGGACACCGTAAGTAGATCTTGTTGCATTACATTTAGCATTATTGACAAAGTATTAAATTATTGGTAACGGAATCATTTTGTTATTTGTATGCAGATGGAGGCTTTATTACGACAGTATTTAGATTGCGAGTATCAAAGTTTCATGTCCGAAGATATCGACAGGCTTTCTGATTCGGATGGTTCTTTATCAAAAACCGCGAAGCAATTGTTAGAGGTCGCGAAACAATTTGGTTCTATCGGTAAATCTGTCAGTAAAAAAATATGGTCTATGACGAACAAAAGGCCAAAGAGCCCGCCTTCTACCAGCGGTGGAATTTCGACAGAAGGCTTGTTGTGTGTGAGAATAAAGAGTAGACGTCATCAATATGTGGATCAAATGCTTCAAAATTATCTTCAGTGTGCTCATGCAAGGTATTTCTTTGATTATTCGATAAATCAGAAGAGTATGGATCATAATTATATCGATTTGTTGTATCATGTTGCAGATATCTACAAGATCATCAGGTGGATGACACAGGTAGTGAACTAAATTACGGTGCCGGCAAGTCCAGATTTTACGCTGCCAGTGATCGCGATAGTCATGCGAGCGTTAACAAACTATTACCTACTAACACAAACAAAAATCATACGCTTTATCTTTCGAGGTATAATTGCAAAATCTAGACTCTCTTCGCTATATCTAATTATGAAGAATAAATTAACTTTTTTTTATACAGATCTACATTTTTTATTGATAAAACTCCATCAACTAATACAGGGCCAGAGATTTGGAATAATAGTGACCATTTAAAGGTATGTCAAGTAACTTTCACAAAAGGAAAAATTATAAATTCTGTTAATTAAAAATTGCCATTTGTACAGGGCACCGTGAAGGAGTGCCGCAATGAACACTGCCAATTCTTTGGATCGCCAGAAAAACAATATTATTGCTCGCAGTGTTGGGCTCATCAACAGTTTCGTTAAATAACCGTCCATAATCGTACATGACAATAATCTCAATTTAATATCGTTCAAAATAAGCTATTAAATAATTTTTAGACATAATGCTAGCCGTAAGATAAAGCTTGTGAATGTTCCACCAACATATCGTCGATAATATTATGTTGTTTTCAGTTTTGTTTCTTTTCATGTTTTCTTGTATTTATTAACATTTTCTATCAGAAAACTGTATATCATATGCACAGGATTCAATTAATCGACATACTGACTCATTATGAAGCGTGTTTATTACAGCATATATTTTCATTTCAAATTAAAAGAAATTATGTGTTTTTATTCGAAGAATAAAGTTGTTTTGCAATTTCGATGTGCCTTCTGCCCTATATGCGCGGAACAAAAAATGATCTACATTATGATAAAAACGTTCACTCACAACTACCTCTACAATTCGATTATAATAGGCAGCAATTCGCGATTTTTTTTTGTATTGATAAAAGATGATATGGAAACGTTTATAATCTCATTATCCTGTGCATGTACAGCTGTGTGAAGAATAAATCATATTTTTATATTTATCGCCTCATTATTTACCGATGTGCGGAATATAATAGTTATTAAGAAGATACACAAAAAGCTCAGTTTTTGCCATAATAAAATGTATTTACACATATTTCCTCACATTAGCCTATCATCATGTGAAAAAGGTAATTAATAGTAAATGATTAACATTACCTGATATTATTACCCATATTCACTAAATTATTGACAAAGCATATGTGATAGTTTATTACGCTAATTTTATTAATATCTGTACGAAGAAAAATTTTTATGTACAAAAAAGAGAAGGAAAGAATTATGCAGTATATAAATTATTGTTTTTTTTTTTTTCAGTACTTTGTATGTTTTCTATTATTATAAATAGCTATATAAGAAAAAACATGAAATGAGAAAAGATTTTACAGTACGTCGAAGGAACTAGGGAATATTCACTTCAGCTACGATACTACTACAAGCGCAGAGTATATGCTTAGCTATTGGGATTTAAAAATGTCCTCTTGCTTTCATTTTATCATTTAAACACTTTCAACATCCGATATTGGTCTTTCAATGAAATAACTAATAAAGAAATAAGTAAAAGAGTACCACCTATATATTTTGTGTCATTTAAAATTGAGTTTCACGTATTTACTATTTACAATTTCAGTCATACGAGCGCAGATACAGTATCAGAATCGATTAGTTTTGTATCCAATATAGCTTTCACTTAAGTAGTAAGCTTACATTTAACCAATATTTCATCTAGAAAGTTTTAGTTCCTCTTATGAAAGATGATAGCAAAAGAGAGATCTTTAAGAAAATTATATAAACTTAAAGTAACTTTGACGGCTGTAGTATTATGCGCGTATAAATTTCATCATAAATTCTTTCAAGACATTTAATGCCATTTATAATTAAAATTAAAATGTAGCAAAAGTTATTCATTTTTAAAGCTATGAACGAGTCATTCGGACCCGCAAAGAAATAAAAACATGATTATTGTTAATTTCATTTTGTAATTCAGTAAAATAATACGGCGAAAATATCAGTATGATTACATCGATATATGGATGCACATACATATATAAATATAATTAATGATATCAATGTATAACATGAATCCTAGTATGTGAGATGCAAAATTTATTACTAATAATTTTTTAACAGGTCTTCTTCGGCAGCTTATTTTCTCTTACACTAAATTGAATTCTTCCCCTGACAATTTTTTTTTTTTTCTTTTGTATCATCGTAACATAAATAATTATTCAAAACAATGCAAATTTTATATTTAGATATTATACTTAGGATCAATTGATGTACCCATTTACAACTTTAAACAAGATGTGAAACTAGATGTCCAATATAAAAAAAAATCAATCGTGTACTTATAGTACTTACGTATGATTATTTTTATCGAACGTTTGTCATTGTAAGGTAAATCAATTGGTCCGTTCCTATTTAAAAGATCAAAGTGCCAGCCACAACACAACAAGCAAAGTGCTCCTATCCATAGTACTTATATCCATACTTGCGCGCGCGTGCGTGCGCCGTAGCATATTGCTTAAGTTAAAGAGCTTGTAAACACGGAATTCTCCATAACTTCATACAGCTATTAACATTCCAATCTTTCTATTAACTCTCGCCCAGCGAAAACTGATATCATTCTTAATTAGTTCCATTAATTTTTTACACGTTTCATGAATTTCTACAAAGTATTATATTAAATATTTGTAATATCTATATATAGCGCGTATATATGTAATATATATATAACAAATATAACTTAACATGTATATTTGATATATTATATGGATAAATATACCTAAATAATTATATTTTCTAAACACGCGCCATAATAAATAAAATTTTCATTACGTAATGATACAATTTTCGCTGTTTAACAAACTTCGATAATGCGAGAGTTAAAGAATATTATCTTTCATAAACCACCGTTAAACAAAAAATCTTATTCAATAATAGAACTTTTAGAAATCATAAAAATTTGTGTTTATACATAAAGTTTGAATAAGCTATATATATAGATTTATTTAAAAAAAAAAAACGTAAATGACAATGATTGACGATGGCTTAAGAGAGACATATCTTATTTAAATTTTTGTTAGAGTATTTTATTCATTTTCGATTAAAAAAAATATTTATTTAAACTTTGATATCCAGAAGGAAAAACAGGGAGATCGTCCGGTTTAGAAGCTCGTTAATTTATTAATCTATACAGAACTGATATATAATAATTAGCGATTCGCGGGTTTTTATTATCATTTAAGAAATGGATCACGATTCCCCATTACCACTATCATCACCATCCTCGTAATCGGTCGCGCTCAACTGCTCATCCTCATCATCATCCAACTCGTACTCGTCATCGTAGAAGTCTGTCATATCTAGTTGTTGTTCGGCCGGCCTCGCTCGAGTCTTTATGCAATAATCCTCCAGAGTTACAGGCACGACAATACCTTCCTTTTCCGCTTCCATCTTGGCAGCTTGAGCTTGTTTCCTAAACAAAAAAACATAAACGAGATATATATTGAGAAAATACCTACCTTGGTTGTGACCAATCTTCTGCCTATCAAATGAAAAATTAAATATATTTTTAAAATATATCTAAAATTTCCTTGAGAATTTCTTGAACAATTAATCGACTTTAGCGTGAAATATATCATAATAATTATTATTTATAATACAAATGTGTTATTTCTAAATTATTATTATTTCTAAACAATATCTTCTTAATAACAGATAAATTAATATAATTATTAAAAAAAAAAAAACAATTTACAGTTTTCATTTTCGTGTGTAATTAGAACAAGAATTAGGTTTCCTAGATAAGTTTATATAATTGCTCTAGCGTTAAAATATATATATTTACGTTGTACCGACATTCTCGTTTCCGCAGTTATCTGTTTCGCACAGTTGTCATAGAGTTTTTAGCACGCTATGGATCCGGTAGCGGTACAATTTCAACGAAAATGCGCAAAGTTTCTTGCAATCGCGTGATGATGTCACGCAACGGCATTACTAAGGATATCTTACCTTATGATATTTTCATATTCTTTGTCTCTTCCTTTGGAATCACGCCAACGTCTATACATTACGGATGCGTCAACGTTGGCTGGACTATACGTGTTGGGCTCATTCAACAACGAGATCACTGACAGCAAGATAGTCCTGAGATGAGAGACACAATCGATTAATAAATCTAATTCAGAAATTTCTTCACTTGATCCTTTTTTTTTTCGAACTTTGCGGCACTGTGCACTCACCTGACATTCTGAGTCGGATTCCACCTCTCACAAGGCAACTCACCGCTCTGTGGATCGTCTACGGGTGGATGCAGAATTGATATGCACAGATCACCATTCTATACAAAGAAAGAAGTTGCCTTTTATACTAATTCTCCTAATATTTAATTCTTCACCTTCTTATTCGATTGATATAATAAACCTGTTCTTTGTTATTGCATTGGACTGTATTAAAATGTTTTACCTCGCTTTCACCAAACTTCAACAAATATGTATCTATTTCGTTTGAAGTACACAATAAGTGTCAACAAGTGTACATTAGTAACCACAAAGAACAGACCTTATACTCACTTTGTTTTGCGCAATGAGCTGATGTTTACGTATGTTATTTTCGGAAATATACGCAAATTATATTTTTCCTTACATATGTGCTGAATAATTTATTGTTAAAAACCTAAAGTGAGCCCAAAGATGCTCGTGTCAATTTAAAAAGATAGTCCATATATATATACATTTTTATTTGCCATTTCTAAATATATTTTTTGCTATTTCAAAAAAAAAAAAAAAAAAAGCCTGTGCATGTGTAAGAATTTGTGCGTGCGACAACATTCGCGTTTATTCTTGTTGTCCTTTCGCCAAACACACACAGCGACCTCGGTGCTTCTGGTTCCGCGTTTCTTGTCCCTGAGAAGACATCGTTGCTCGAAGGACGAGACCTCCGGATGTACCTTTACGGTACGTGAAGAGAAGTCGCCGAGGTCACCGTGATTCTATACCATATTCGGAGAAGAGATATGACTTTTTTTCAATCAGAATTATACGTTATCGGAATCGGTACAAAACTATCGATATACGAGAAGTATAGGAAGTAAAAAAGAAAAAGGTCTTGGGCCGTCCTACAAACGCGCGCTAAGCCTCATGAAAATCGTAGAAAACGTCGCTGCGGACGTTTTTCTCACAAGAATCACTTCTATCTTTCGTCCCTCCTGTGAAGACGTTCGGCAAGTAGGACAAGGCGCACCGTGGTTTCACCATGGCTCGATTCCGAGCACCTCGTAATAAGCCACGAAGGCGAAGGCGAGCTCCTCGAGTAAACGCCCGGCACTTGACACCGACCGTTCCGACGGCGATAGCATCGCTGTATCTGTGCATGCGTTTATACAAGCCGACGAGTAGAATACACGACGCAGAATCGCGCGAAGTATGAAACCGGTGAAGGTGACCGGTACTTGAGATCTATCGAGAGCTACACGCAAACCAAATGTAAGAAGAAACGTAAAAAAGAACAATGAAATTGACTCTAGACTAGAAATAGATTCTGCTTAAGAGGCGCGATATTCAGTGGCTTATTATATAAAAGCATTCTGTATATATTACACACACACACACACATATGTATTAAATAAAACAATGCCGCCGCCTCTTATTCTTTACGTACGTAAAATGTCTACCGTATTTACTGTACATTACTGGATTTGCGTGCCGACGAAAAAGACCAGGGAAGATTCGCGTAATGTACAAGATGCACACGCGTACGAATAATATGAATTTCACGACGGGGAAAGTTGGGCTTGAGAAGAGCGAGCCGTATACGTGTTAAGCCATGCGGTATATATCGAGTGAACCTTCTACGACGGTCTGCTTCGATTGCGAAAGACCTCAACATATTGAGGTAAGTGCCGTTTTCTCGAGGATTTGCGCAATGCGCAGATTATCATCGAAATAAAATTTCACGCGGTGAAGAAAAAGCGAGATAAGTCGACTCTTCGCGTATGATTAATCTTCTTTGTACAACCGAGAGTTTACTCTTTTACGGTCTACCTCGCTGGATATAGAGATCGTTGATTTTCACTTTACAGTTAGTGGCTTCGCTACGATCACGCGTTATGGAAAAAAATGAAGTACAGAGTAACAAGATTTTGCTATATATTAGTTTGAATTTAAATGTGCTGAAATATATACACAAATAAAACGGACATTTAGCGTTAGGTATATGATAGAAAAGAGAAATACCATATTTGTTTAAAAATATGATACATAATTAGAGTTACATAAAGATAAGTTGTTCGGCTTATCAATCGATTAGCGAACAGGTCAACTATTTTGAATGTTCGAATTGAGATAGGAAGTAAACGGCGATTTAAGATACCGGATTTAAAATATTTAATTTTATATTCATATTTTCGTGTTACCATACTGTATACGGAGAAAATTTTATATTTAAAATTACTATAATATGTGGTAGTAGCTGCGGACTTATCATGTAAATTACAAGTTTAAATGCTATATCTATTTAAAAAAAAAGAAACAATAATGCAACGTAATTTTTACACTCTTTTCATAGTAAAAAATTACAAAATCAAAACTTGTTGAATAAAAAAAAGTTAGTATTGTAAAGATAAGTAAAGAAATATATACCTAGCAAATTTTGTTTGCAAATTTTTGTTTGATCATAGTCAAAATTAACTGTTTTCACATCAGAATATGGCTTAACATGGTTTAACAAAATAATTACTTTATCGGTGTGATAAAAATTAGTATTACCATAGTAAAAGTTACGTCGGAATCACGTCCATGACGGTCCATCGAAAATACAAGGCGTAGTAGAGTGTAATTTAAAATTGTATTAAAACTCGATATAAAATTTTCTCCCCTGTAAACTATGTTATTTTACAGTTAATTCCGCCATGCTGCAAACGTGTCCAGTTTGCAAGCAAGAGAGTAACTGCGAGAGAGCGACTAGTCTACAATTCACAAACTTTAATATCCTCTCTCCGACAGCCCAGACCTTTAAAAAAAAAAACAACAAGTATTCGTGTTTGCCTCGTTACTCATAACACGTTCTCGTCGTTACCATCCCTATCGACGACGGGCGAGTGGACATGGATGTCCACGCGGGCTTTCGACGGTCATTGACTTCGCTTCGCTAGCCGCCGAAGGGTCATATACGACGAACAGCGAGCAAGAGATGCGGCGACCGAGGTCGATAAGCGGTGTGGGAATGCGATACAGTTTTGTACAAACGCGCAAACGATACCGTCGCAATACGTAAGAAGAACGCGGAAATGCATTTCCGATCCCCGCTGAATACTTCCATCTCAAACTACGAGTGATACGGTCCGCGCGAAATCATCATGCTTAATCTTAATAATTTACATACCTGTGCTTATTGGCCGCACGCGAGAGCAAGTTTAGCTACTAGCGATACTTTTTGCAAGAGCGCGGACGTTCTCGGAAATCATCCATTTTAACAGACCTCACTTTAATCGACGTTTTATTTCGCGCGGACGATATTGTAACGGACGAATGCGAGAGGGCGAAGTTTAAATGCAGCGACTACGGTGTAGCAGACAGGAAACGCGGTCGCGCTTTCGGCCTTTTCAAGTGGCGAACAACACGGCGATCAGCCCTCGTAAAAACGGTCAGCGTACTATCAGCGGTGCGGCCGACTTGTTCTCGTCGGGGAACTGGACTCTCGTTTTTTTTTCCCGGCTGATCCTCGGCGCAGGTTCGCAATGTCGACGGAAATACGGCGGAAGAGTAACGGGAATCACGGAGTTTTACAAACGTCGAAACATGACGACGCTGTGGCTCGCGGTAAATATAGTACGGCCGGAGACGTTCCGAGAAAATGCCGCCGGCGGCGGATACGTCAACATGAATGCAACCTCTGGGTGCGAGAAACTACTACTACGTAACGCGCAATTTTTCCGAGTCGGCCGTTTTTACTTTCTTTCCTTTTTTCCTTTTCGTTTTTTTTCTTTTTCGTTTATTCCTCCCTTTCCCGCTCGTTCGCCCGTTGCGTCTCGATGGTAACGACGGCCCGGGGTTTGGACGGCCCGGGTGGTTTCACAAGCGCTGGAAAGTGACGATGTAAAAGCTGATGGTTGTAAAAGCTATGGCGGCGGAGGGTGGAAGATAAAGAGGGGCGGACAGAGAGCGGGACGGTCGTTATACAGGGAGAGCGCGTCGAGAGCAGGATGAGAGAGAGAGAGAGGGGGGGGAGGGGGAGAGGGGGGACGGATGAACGGAAAAGGGACGCAAGGGAGGATACGCACGTACACACGTATGAGAGGAAAGGGTCGAAACGGGGGGGGGGGCAGAGAGAGAGAGAGAGAGAGAGAGCATACGCGGGGAATCGATAATTCTCGTATATATTCACTCACCTCATATACATTCGGATGCCAAACTTTTGTCATGAAACGAATGCTCGGTGGACTGTACGGATAATCCGGTGGGAACTTCATGTGTGCCTGTAACATAACGAATTAAGGCCTGGTCAAGGTATATGTATTCTCGACGTTCGACTTCGGCTTCGGGTCGCCGAGACGCCCACGCGTCGTCTATGCGACACACGCGCCTCAAGCGTTACCGCGTATACCTATATGTATATCGACGTACTGGATTGGAACCGTTATAATTTCAGCGAGTTCAATATCCAACGCTACACACACGTGCGGAAAAATGTGCGTCTCGCGCGCCAGCAAGACCGTCGGGCTCTATTCTCACGATCGACGTGGGAAATTTTCCCGCGTGCGCGCGTACACGCCACCAAAATTAGTCGACCCGCCGACGTTGTACCGGTTTTAGTTACTTTGTCCGTTAGTGCGAGCCCTCGAAAAATTATCGCGAACTTTCTGACGCTCGAGCTCACCGATCCAATTTCGCACGCGTAAACTTTCCGATCCGTTATTTATAACGATGTCGCGTAACAAAGTTGGAAAATCGGCTGATGGCTGTAGTGACTTATTTCTTACGTTGTGGAAAAAAGAAAGAAAAAAGAAAAAATTGTTGTTCAAATTAATAAAAAGAGAAATTAACGCTCTAGAAATTCAATCACTCCAGACAACCTGTAAATAAACACATCGGAGTACTTCGATGCTACGAAAGTGGAGCAACATGGCCGTTTAGAAACGTAGCCGTGATAACGAGACAAGATGTAAAATCGGTGCGCGGGCATGCCTCGACATTGATAAGATTCGGCATTTCGATCGGGTTCGGAATCTCCAAGGGAATTCGCGACGATATCGATTTCTATTCGAAAGCGCGAAAGGGGTGTCTGGTTGTTCGATGCAGGCTTCGTCGTCGGGGACGCTATATTGATCGCGACCTGGTCATGGCCCAAATATCCACCTCGTCCTCCGGGATAACCGCGTTCTAGAATTAACCTACTTTCTACCGACTACACGCTTACAGTGTCACGAAAATTCTATCTCGAACCGTACTCGCGTTGCTCCACGTGCATTCGCAAATTGTCTCGTTGTAACTATTTCTGTTACAGCCAATTTTTCCGAAGCTGCTTATTCAACTGCAACGAAATTGCTGGCTCGTGACCGAAAAGGTTCTATTAAGGTTCTATTCTTCTTAATGTGTTTCCCATTTATCTTTTTAACGTGACAATTACTAAAGTACAAAATGAATGATCCGTTAAGGTATCTAAAAATTTCGACAGGTATGAAAATAACTTTGTACGTGAGAATAAATAATCCAAATAATTACATAGATATCGAAAGCATGATGAGCAACGCTAGAAAAAGTCTAACAATCATTTTAAGCGTCCTACACTGTGTGTTGATAACCGACAAAATTATTTTCAGATCTGTACCTAGCTAAATTTCTGCTAGACACTTCAACAAAACTGCCCTTTGCACTCCGTGTAAGCTCAACTTTTACTATTAATTTTTGTTTGTTAATAAAAAAAGTGGAATTTTTCTGTAATTCTCATTTACTGATAATCGACGCCCAGCTGAACAAATAAATACAGGCACGTATCAAGTTTTCCGATGTGATATTGATTGCAACTATCAGCGTGCGATCTTACATGCCATTGTCAGGAAATATTCCGTGAATTATGTATCTCTAATGCAAAACTTTCTACTTCTATAGCAAAATCCCACTAGAATTTCTGCACGTCATAAATTCGTCTCAAAAACCGCTTTTGCAGAGGAGAGATTATAGATCGTATGGATTGTTGCAGATCGCTCCGGAATGGAACTATCACCTCGACACGTCTTTCGTCGCAACTCCACCGTATGACCTACAAATTTTCGCGACCTACTTCGACAATAAGCAACTGCGGTCATCGTAACGCGACGTTGTGTAACGTGAACTAGGCGACAACTTTTCAAACTATCGAATCGTGTCACGCCCGACGACAGATCAATTCGATCAGGCATTTTTGTAAATGGGACTGTCCCATTCTATTCTCAGCTTAAAAATAAAATTAGAGAGACGAGGCAATAACAATATTTTATTCAAAATCTAATTATAATTATACGATTTCAATCAATCGCTCTTTTTTCTCAACCTTTTTATGTGTTACAGACTGCGATATAAATCCTTTCGAATGTATCAAAATGCTTTCTTTCACAGATAGAATTGTGTACGTTTCTACATGGATAAAGTCTGTAATTTGCAACCTGTGTAAAAGTTTACCTTTACATTTTCTTTTGTAATAATCAAGTTTTTTTTCGCGTGATAATTCACGAGGAGGAAGAGGAAGATAAAAATAAGCTTTCAGCTTTTCCAACATGCGTAAGGTGTAACAGATACTTTTCCTTCTAGAATCGTGGATCCGAATAAATCGACAACCGCGACTTCTTTCTAAAGATTCGCGGTGTATCGACTATCGATTCCAAGTTGTATTATCGCGAAAAGTTGCGGCACTCGCGAAACGGGATGCCCCGCCATCTCTTCGCGAGGTGAAAGGATAAAGTCTGATCGGGACGGACTTCGTGGAAAATGAAATGGCTGCGAAGTAGCCGCGTCGAAAATCGTGAGCTCGTCAGATATTCGAATCGATTTTTCGCGCACCGACGACGAACCGGCGCGCGATCGTCTTAACGGAACGAGATTAGGTGAAAGTTGGTCGGTAAAGGCATGCCTGCACCAGGAATAGAATCGAAACGATGCTCGATGGCATTTTATGTAACTTGGCAACCGTATCGGGCCACCTTTTACCGAGCCGTGCATAAATTTTGATTCGGGGGACGCTCCCGATAAGTAGAACGTGATCTTGCGAGAAGATCGCCAGGATCGCCGTCCATTAAAATGTCTATTAAAACGCAGGAGAGACATTGATATTTAGGTATCGCGTGCCAACCACGTACGTACATTTCGAATACACGAGCAATAAATCCAAGTCAGATTGAAATTTTCCGCCTCGTTTTAAAAGGCAAGCGATCATTAAAAATGAATGAAGGAGGCGTGATCCGATCGGATTATGTGCATACGCAATTCTTTCAGCGTTCCGTTTCGTATCATCGATACGTATTACGACGCAGCGCTCTTTCGCGACTTCGATAAGCCTCCGTTATATTCCGTTTGCAGTTACGTCGTTACCTTTTTAGCGTTCTGCGAAATTAACCTTATCTCAAGCCGAATAAAGGCATGGAGCCTCGTATAAATTTACATTACGAAAGCCTGATCTGCAAAGCTGAAAACAATTGAATTAATCAGCCCGTTCGATCTCGCGAAATATTCGTGAATATTTCGGGAAAGGAAAAAAAAAGAAAAAAAAATTGATTTCAAGCCGACAACAGATTAAAGTCCGTAAATAATAAAGGCGAGAAACCTTCGGTGCCCCCCCCTCTAAAACAATGAAACGATAAGTACGTGAAGTTATTCATTCGCGAAGATACCTCAAACGCAGCGTAAGATGAAAGCGATTGTTTACCCGAGCAACGGCGCAACGCGAGCATTCACCGATTAAGGCCTAACGCGATTACGGTAAAATGGATAATAGATTAATCCAGTGCTCTCTTCGAGCGGAGCGGATGGACGCAGTCTTTCGAAATAACCGTGGAGGAGGGGATTTACATGCGCAAGGTGTGCCACACCGTGCAACCACGGCCTGCAAGAAACGCCGGGCTCGTTATTGTCGGGTTACGTTTGTGGGAAGATACCGTTTGCGTTACGCGAATAGGCGTTCGCTCGTTCGCGACGAGGCGGAGAGTGGTTTTAGAAAGCGGACGGGGACATGCAAAAAGTTCGCAGCCGCGTCGGCAATGACAGAACTCATTTTACAGTCTGGCGTTTAACGTCTGGCTGAGCGCGTTAAAGCCCC